AGCTACACGTTTTGTTACTTGCTCACGCCCCCCATTGCCCCGAAAAAGGCACATTCTGTATAAACAAAAGTAGGTAGGCGGCATTTTGCTGCACTCCCCGATTTAGTTTTTATACTGCCAATGCTGAAAAAACACTGATTGGGCTTTCCTGCAAATTTGCACAACTCCTGTTTAAAAAGGGCTGCAGACACACAGACATAGTTACACCAGTGTTGGGTAAGGGGTACTTTAAAAGTAATCAAAGTATGTTACTGCGTTACTTTTTAAAAAAGTAACCAGTTACTTTACTGCGTTACTTCCTGAGTAAAGTAAGTCAAGCACTTTTAAAGTACTTTTGAGTATTCTACATTTCCTATTGGCCAATGGACCACAGGGCGCTAAGCCTACATTTTTTTGTCTCCAAAATTAAAGTTATGGACCACTTGCCCTTCACTGAGATCCAGTTCTCCCATCACAGCCGTCACTTTGACCAGTAGAAACACACAACGATCTGCTGCCATAGACAACTGTATGACAACAACACCCCAGTGTTTTAATATTTCCTCTAGGGATGTTACCACACAGAGTAAAAGGGGGAAATGATGGTGTGAAACAGCAGAGGCACTTTGTCAACCTGCTGAGTTAATGTTACTGTTATTAGCATCAAGCTAGCAAACAATGGTACATCCTCACGGTCGGACATAAAGTAATAACATTAACAAATAGCGGCGGGGCTTTTACTCACCACAACTGCAGAGGCTCCCAGTTTCATTTGAAACAAACTACATTATAGATGCTCCGTTATTTATTAATCCCTCTGTGTGTTTATATATTTACTTTTTATCCGCTCCATTGTCTTTATAAAGTTAACATATCGCACCGTCATTTCAAACTCAACACTTGTTTCAAATTAAAAGCCCCTTATAACCTCGGCTGAGAGAATCCCTCCATTTTCTAAATAGGCTTTTATTCTGAAACATTTGTCAGAACTTCCTGTGGAAGATACAGTAGCTTCACAGTTTACGTATGGCGCTTCAAATGTAGCTCCTGCCATCTGCTGACGCTTCTAGGTGACTACAACAACATGTCGGCTGGCACATGAACACACACAGTGACTCAGATAATAGTAAAGTAATAAAAACAGGACAAGAATAACCCGATGACATCACACACGCCATGAAAGTTGACCAGGGATAATTGGTGAGTACCAGCGTGTAGCGTGTACCAGGCATAATGCGTTACTTTGTAACACGTTATACCCAACTATGAGTTACACACACACACACAGACACACAGACACACACACACACACACACACACACACACACAGACAGGAAACAGGAAACTGACCTCATTCTGATGTCACAGTCAAAATGGACTCCAAACTTCTCTACGATTGGTTTAAACACCTGAAGAAGAAAATAAACAGTTGAACACAGATTCATCCCAAACATGTTACTGTGTCTGTGTGTGTGTGTGTGTGTGTGTGTGTGTGTGTGTGCATCAGACCTTGACAGTGTAGTCGATCTGAGGAGCCATCTCTGCGTTGGTTCCTCCCTTCAGACAGAGCTGTGAGGAAGCGTCAGCGTACAGAGCGCAAGGTAGAGCTACCTGCAGCAGCAGACACACACTCCTGACACACACACACACACACACACACACAGAATACATATTGATTACTGCCTTTAAAAGAACAACTGATTTACAGTTTACAATGTTAAAGTGAGACGATAAAATAGGACGTTAGATTGTGTCACAGACAGACAGACAGACAGACAGACAGACTCACCCTGCTGTCTGTGTGTCGGCCGTGTGGCTTCCAGACCGGATCTTTCCTGGAGTCAGACTGATGTCGGTGGATCCGATAGTGGCTCCCTGCAGGCCGCCAGAACACAGATCTGAGACCAACTGCAGGCCGCTCAGGTGCTGCGGCCTGAACACACACACACACACACACACACACACACACACACACTTATAATAACGGAACACATCTGATTGTGTACGAGACATTGTGACCACACCTGTGACTCTGTGCTCATGACAACTCACAGTAGTTTGTGGAAACAGTCTTCACAAGAAAACCTCAGAGCTCCATTCAGAAATTACACATATCTGACGAGTTCTGAACTTTATACCAATCCCTCATTCGACACACACAAGACTAAAACTGTTTTAGGATGCTGAGAGCCTTGTAGTTAATTCGGCTCACATACGAACCTCCCAGAAAATCAACAGTCTGCATCAGATGAACTGATCCGCAGCTGCCGGGTGACGCCACAGTGCAGCACACAGGCACAGTGCCACACTTTGCTGTTAACTCTTATAAATTAACAAGCCTCCGCAGCAACAGGATGGAGGCCGAATTTTAATGCGGCACCAGCCGATGTCTGAATATGTTCATTTATGTTTCAGAGATCATGTGTGTTTGCAGATGAGACAGAAACTCTTATTTTGGAAATTTATGAATTGAGTCTTGTCGCCGTCTTCTTCTCTCCATTTAAGCTGCACTAATAATTTGGCTGCAGATTCCCAACAGCTGCCTCTAACGGAAGCCGGAGAGTTTTATCCAACACGAGAGCGAGAACAGGATCCAGTCTGTGAGCAACTGAACCCAGATCACAAATGTTTGCTTCTATTGTCAGGAGGAGCTAACGACGTTAGCCGACGACTCAACTTCAATGAATAGGCTAACGTTAGCCTGCTAGCCGGGAGCAGCTAACTCACCTGAGCCCCGGTGTGCTTCTGCCGGCTCGGATTTTGGTGATTTTGATGGATGTCCCGGTGATGCAGCTGAGCGCCGCGGACACTCTCAGGATCTGTCCGCCCTGCGGAGAACCGACACCAGGGAAACACATCAGAAACCGGTCGGTTCAGCACCGGCTGCTAACCGCCGCACTCACCGCTGTTAGCCCTGTGTTAGCATGTTAGCAGCGCGGAACATTATTCCGGTAAATACAGTGTGAACACTCACTCCCTCCATCAGGCTGCCGTCGATCTCCGCCGCCGCCGAGTCCATCTTCATCAACCGGAACACCTTGACTCCTCAACACCGACTCTGGGTCACAATCAGACTGCAGCCTCCGGTAACAGCACCGGTACTTCTCTTCTTCTGTTTGGGAGTCTTCTTCTTCTTCTACTTCTTCTTCTTCTGGAACTTCTCCGCCTCACTGAAAAACTACAATCACTTCCGCTGACTTTCAAAATAAAATGAGTTATTGTTTTGTTGCTTTGCAGGATGAGCAAAAGTTGTTTTGTTTTTTCCCACAAAATGTATTAAATATATTCAGTACGCTGAGAATGAACATTCCAGATTTTCGTGATCAAAGTTGTAGAAAATATATTCAATAACATAAAAATACAAAAATACAATAAATTCAACTACACAACAAATAAAGAATGAAAATACATGAAAAACAGAAACTGTCAGAGTCTGTGAAATAAAACTGAAACAAAAGAACTGGAATAAAATTGAGATGTCAACAGTTATATATCTTTAAAAATGTAAAAGGGGGTGGTCTCTAAAGCCAGATCTATATATGGATACACACACACGCACACACACACACACACATATATATATATGTGTGTGTGTGTGTGTGTGTATACACACATCATCTCTCTCTCTCTCTCTCTCTGTCTCATTGTGTCATACGGATTACTGTTAATTTATTATGCTGATCTGTTCTGTACGACATCTATTGCACGTCTGTCCGTCCTGGAAGAGGGATCCCTCCTCAGTTGCTCTTCCTGAGGTTTCTACCGTTTTTTTTCCCGTTAAAGGGTTTTTTTGGGGAGTTTTTCCTGATCAGCTGTGAGGGTCATAAGGACAGAGGGATGTCGTATGCTGTAAAGCCCTGTGAGGCAAATTGTGATTTGTGATATTGGGCTTTATAAATAAAATTGATTGATTGATTGATTGATTGACTGATCATGTGTCCGCATGTGTCATTGTTTTTTCTCACAGAGTCAAACCTGCAGCGTCACATAAACAGAGTATGAATATAAAGTCCTGTAAAGTACAGGCAGCATAAAAACTACACTTCATTACAGGATTTTTATTATTTTGTATTTAGTTGTTTTAAACACACCAGCATGTGATCTTTTTTTGTTTTTCTTTAAACAACATATGGCCTTTATTTTGAAGAGCATTTCCGGTGTTTCTGCATGGTATCAGAGAGCTTTGTGCAGCCGGTGGGTCCGGTGTGTCGCCTCCTGCAGGCAGCGTGAAGAACAACATGAGGAAGAGGTGAGGATGCTGCAGAGTCACCGTGGAGTCAGCTCCTGTTAATAACTCCTAGTGACGTCATTTTATGCTTCAAGAATATTTATTGACTTTTCTTGTTTTAACAAACGACAGCATCAAACAGCTGAGATCAACCCTCTGCACCTCCATCAGGAATAAAGATGAGTGGACAGGAAGCCTTGACACAGCAGCAGCAGCAGCTTCAGTCAGTCACACTAAATGTTGGAGCCGCAGTGTCTCAACAGTTTCATCATTGTGAGGGCTGATGAAACTGCTGAGACACTGCAGAGTCAAACACTCCATGATGTTCTCACTCATTCACAACAAAAAGATTTTTTTCTGTCATTTTTTTTAAATGTTACATTTAAGTTCAATGTACAAAAACAGATCAAATAAAACTGTGACGAAACAAAAGTTCATATTTCTTCATTTTCAGCTTCAAGAGTTAAAATTAGTCCAATATTTTGATGTCTTTTATTTATTTTCAGGTTTTGTACAGAGGCATAAAACGGTCACATCAGAAGAAGAAGGAAAACCTGATGAGTGTCAGATAATAACGTGAACATTTCTACTTATAACAACATAATTATTTATCTGATAAGTATTTTGTTAAAACAAAAAAAGTTTTTGTTTTTTGCAGGCAAAGTTTTTATTGTACCATGAAAAACTTTTTATGTTATTACCTGATACTGGTGATCGTTTTCTCCGGTTCTTTTGAAACTGAGCTGAGTTTACATCCGTTTGAAAAGAAGCTCAAAGTCCTGAGTTAGAAGCTGCTGATGTTTCTTCACTTTAACAATGTCATGACATCTTTGGTGGCAGCTGCTTGAATCTGTTAGACAAAGACAGTAAGATAAGATAAGATAAGATAAGATAAGATCAGCAGGCATTGCAGCAGCACAACAAAGAAATAATAACAGAAATAAATACAGATAAAACAGAAAAGTAATAATAATGATAATAGAAATATACAGTATGAGAAGCAGAAACACTAGAAAGTATTCATTAAGATAAGATATACTTTATCGATCCCCAGAGGGCAAATTCAAATATCAAAGCAGAACAAGACAAAAAGACATTAAATAGAATACGATAGAAGAGAAGAAGAAAAAACAATTGATAAATAAAAGATAAATAAAATAAAATAAAATAAAATTGCTACATCAAGATGAATAAAATGACTAAACACGGCAGACAAAGTGTGGAATAAACTAAAGTGTCAACTGGCAGATTAAGTGTCATGTTGATCAGATGCAAACTGGACGCAGCTTAAGCCAAACTGCTGTTGTCCAGTCTGATGGCGGTGGGCACAAAGGAGCGTGTGAGTGGTTCAGTCCTGCTCCTGGTGGCTGAAGGAGCTCCCATCAGACACAGCTCGTCATGCAGAGGAGACAAGGATTGTCCAGGACTGCACAGATTTTGTCCTCTGTTCACAATTAAAGACAGTTTGAGAGAGAAGGACAAATAAATAAATAAATAAATAAATAAATAAATAAAATATGAATATTAAACTGAATAAATGTCTTTCTCATGTAGTTCCCGTTCTGACCGTTGGGTGGCAGCATCACGTCACTGCACCGTCCCGTCTGCTGCACGTAAAGAAGAACAAGACGCTGAGCGGTGATTGGCTGCTGAGAGGGGAGTGCGGGCGTGACGTCAGCGGCCGGCAGCAGAGAGGAAAGATGGCGGCGGTGACCAGAGGCTCCTTCACTGTGTTCAGACTGCTGGTGAGAAACACCGAGTTTATTTACATTCTCTAAAACTGTTTTTGTTTGTTTGTTTGTTTGTTACTGATGCGAATGGACTGGCCGGATGACGTCACACCTCCGTCACCTGGTCACACTGTTAGCTTAGCGTGTTAGCTGCTGTAACTTGTACTGCCATGCTAATTTTGATGCTAGTGCTAAAAGATTGAAATAAAAACAGAGGCAGGAGCTGCGCGGTGCTAACAGGCTAGCATCATGCTAATATGCTAACAGGTTCATTCAGTTAGCTTCCTGCAGGTCAGAGAGCTAACAGGCTAACAGCTATCAGCAGCTGATAACAAGCAGAGTTCAGTCAGTGCAGGAGGAAGTACTCGGATACTCTACTGCAGGGAAAGTACTGATATCACCATTCTGTGAAAGTGTTAGTACTTTTACTACAGTAGTGGTTGTAATGCAGTACTTTTACTCTTAGTGAACTGTAAAAGTACTCGACTGCAAATAAAAGTCCTGCTTCCTAAACTTCACTCAAGTAAAAGTATTCAAAGGAACGTCCTTCACTTTCTCACAAACATCAACAGGACATTAAATGTGTTGTCTTCCTGTCAGCTGAGTCAGCAGTACCGCCGCCGATGTTTCCGGCTGCAGAGCTTCAGATGTGACAGACGTGTGCAGCCGCTGACCTTCAGATGGGACCCAACACTCCAGATGTTGAGCAGCAGGACGCTGCACACCGCCAGCGGTGAGTCCAGACCCAAACCGTCCGCCTCCTGTTGTTGTTGTTGTTGTTGTTGGGATTGTTGATTTATTGATGGATTGATTGATTATCTGAGAGTAAACTTAATGATCAGTGAATGATTCAGAGTTCAGATCTGGTTGGTCCAGTTTCAGGAATCCAGGAAGTGACCAGGTGTCTGATGATGTCACATAATCAACTCTTTATTCACTTGTTCCTGCTGTCACAGCTCCTGGAAGTTACCATGGCAACCTGCCAGAACGTTGTCTTTGTGTTGGCAGTGGAGCACTTCCTGATTAAGTCGTAGTTTGATAGAATCCAAATCAACAGGTTTCATCTCACAGAAAGGTCTCAGACCAGGTGCCGTATTCACAAAGCCTCCTCAAGAGAGAGCTAAGAGTTACTGATGAAATGAGAAGAAAACTCTTAGAATTGTGACATTTTCTTAGAGTTTCCTTTAAAGTTAAGGCTTAAAGTTAAGACTAAGAGTTTCCCCTTAAAGTTAAGAGTTAAAGTTAAGAGTTAAAGTTAAGAGTTAAAGTTAAGGCTTAAAGTTAAGGGGTGGTCCTGGTAAAGATAAAAGTCGTCCACAGAGCGTGTCAGACCTGATAAGAGGAGACAAAGTGTTGGGAGCAGGAGGAGGAGTTTAAGAGTTTCTGAATCAGAGGAGAAAATGGTGGAAACACAAAGAGGTCAGAGAAATATTCTCCAAACACTGGACGACAGAGGAAATGAGACGCTGCAGATCAGATGATGTCATCAGGGATACACACACATTTCCCAGCTGACTCTGTAACGTCAGAAACAAAATGATGACATCATCACTGAGGTATGTGAGGTCAGAGCAGCAGTGATGAGTTGAGTCTGTCTCAACCTTCATCAGCAGTGATCACACTAACACTGACACTGTCACAGTCTGCAGTTCATCTCATGTCCACTGGGTGTCCTCACACCTTACAGGCTCACAGAGGGGCGTGTCTCTGACAACCAATCACATCACACCTAACAACAGGGTCGACCACACCTCCTCACTGAGGTCACAGTTTCTGTCCCTTCATCACTCACAGAACTTTCCTGAATCACTCCTGACCTCTGACCTCTGACCTCTGACTGCTGGCTAAAGGGTTTTAGTCACTAGCTCCTTTTACACTGACAGGCTTTCAGCGAATGTTGGGCCGTTTTGCCGCCAAGCTGCGAGCGTTTAGACACACAGACCCGGATTGACGAGTTGATCCGAGGTGCCGAATTTTCCTGCTCGTAGGGTAGACATATTGGTGGAACCCTTTTAGTTTAAACAGACCGAGGCGGCCTTCTGCCACGGGAGGAGCTGTTGATGACTTGTGGGCGGGAGGGGGTGGGAGAATTGCCGAAGGACTGACCAGCCGCGGCTTCCCTCCCACGTCACTGTTTACGTCACACGCTGAGCTACACGTTTTGTTACTTGCTCACGCCCCCCATTGCCCCGAAAAAGGCACATTCTGTATAAACAAAAGTAGGTAGGCGGCATTTTGCTGCACTCCCCGATTTTGTTTTTATACTGCCAATGCTGAAAAAA